TGAAGACAGTAGCTTTGGAGTTTGGAGAGATTGCTTCGTGCCCAGTGCCCAGCAGAAGTTGTTTCTGAGTGACGTGCGTATGCACGAGAGCAACTGCTTGCTTTCATTCTGATGATGGCCGGAGTGATGGTGCCTGCCGAGCCAGCAGCCATCACTCGTACGGAACCCTTCGGGTGACCCCTCGACTCACACTCCAAAAGTGCTCTGTGACAATCGCAATACAAAAATTTAATCGACACCATGAGCAACAATGACAAACGGTGCAAGCGTGGGGAGGAGGTGGAAGACGAGCTGGACGTGGATGAGTACATTGAAACAATGAGGGGCGTTAATGCCAGAGCCGAAACGCAGGTTGGCGCCATTCCCAGCAGTTCTTCTGCACGCTTTTTGGGCGAGCACAAGTCTAAGCGAGCGCATCGGTCGTCGGCCACTCCTACAATCGGAGAACGCAACGTCGAGCAACGCTCTTCCCGCTCACATCCTGCAACCATCGGAGGTTTGATGCAATCTGATCAGCCACAGGAACAAGCTGGACCGCAGGTTGGTGCTGTCCCTCGCACCAATGGGCCCAAGATGTTGGGAGAACAGAAGAGCAAGCGATGTCCCACCGATGAACATAACACATCCACTGGTGTCTCGACACATGCTCAGCAGGCAACAGCTGGCCGAAGTAGTCTTCGGTACCGCGACAAACTGGCCAAAGCACAAGGGAGCCAAAGCAGCTCTGAAAGTGTGAATGCCAGGGACACCGGTGAAGAAGGAGTTATCGAGCTTTCAACTACAGCGACTCCAGTCGAAGAACACACATCAAACACTTCTGACCCGGCTGAACCCGAGTACCACATTGCAGTATCTGAAGGAACGGGCCACAATCAAGGGTTGGACGCAGGGCTGCAAACGCCACCAGCACTAGTTGAAGAGAGACACTCAAATGATGGGCTTGTGGCAGCTCGACCTGTTGAAGAAGATGATAACATTCTAGAAGGGCTACCTCAAGCTGAGCAGTGGGATGAAAAGAATCATCTCGCCCAGGTGGAAGAAGCTCGGAAGGAAGGAAACCTCAAGGTGCTTGGCTACCTGGGTCTGCTTGCTGTTCTTGTTGTGATTCTGCTGGTTGTATTCCTCCCCAAGAATAACAATGAAGAATCACTGACACCTTCTCCATCTGCAAGCCCATCAGCTAGTCCTTCAGCAGCTCCATCAACTCAAGAAGATTATATTCTTAACCTGTTGCCTGAGTTTTCCTCCACGAACATCGCTGTCATTGGTACTCCGCAACACAATGCCTTTCAGTGGCTTATGAATGACACAGCAGTGGGGCTCTATTCTGATACCAGGCTGGTCCAACGTTATGCATTGGCAGTCATCTACTATGCCACCGAAGGAGATGATTGGTACAACATTGTCAAAGAAGGATGGCTGAACCATGATTTGCACGAATGCAGTTGGTCATTCACCAAAGACACTGAGCTTATCTTCAAAGACTTCTTTGGTCAAGAAGAATTCATACCAGAAGGTCCCTGCACCAAGACTGAGCCTATTGCTCTGGAAGAAGAGTTGTACTATGAAACTCTCTGGCTTCCTGAGGCCAACCTTGCTGGCAGTTCAATCCCTTTGGAAATCTTCCTGCTCAAATCTCTCCGCACCCTCAATCTTGAGGGGAATCCCTTCTTGTCTGCCACAATTCCAACAGAGATTGGAATGCTCACCAATCTAGAGAATTTGGCACTGAGTTTCCTTGAACACCTATCTGGTACTCTACCTTCAGAAATTGGATTGTGCTACAGTTTGACTTCTCTTAGGATTGATGAAACAGCCTTGACGGGGTCCCTTCCAACAAGCATTGGAATGCTACAGAACATCACCTTGTTGGTTGCTGAAGGATCCAGCTTGTCAGGATCAATTCCATCAGAAATTGGACTCTTAACATCCCTTGAAGTCTTCTACAATGGAGAGAGTATGCTTGAGGGAGCTATCCCCAGTGAAGTTGGGCTGCTGGAATCGTTGGAGCAGCTGAGTTTGTTTTCGACCCACCTTTCTGGACAGATCCCTTCTGAGCTGGGTCGGCTATCCCAACTAGAGTTCATTTCTCTGTTCCATAATGACTTGAATGGAGCATTGCCCACCACTTTTGGGGGGCTATCTTCACTCCTGGTGATGTCAGTGAGGCACAACACCCTGTCAGGGGCCATCCCATCAGAGGTTGGCTTGCTTTCGTCACTTTGGGTGCTCTACCTCCAAGGGAACTCCCTCAGTTCCAGCCTTCCCACAGAGATTGGAGCCATGCGTGGCTTGGAATCACTGCATCTATTTGATAACCATCTCACTGGGTCTGTGCCATCAGAAGTAGGCTTGATGAATTATTTGTTTGAGTTCAAGGTGAACCACAATGAGCTCACAGCCATGATTCCTTCAGAGATTGGACATCTCTTCGACCTGTCCATACTACATCTTCAGGACAACATGCTCTCAGGAACTCTTCCAAAAGAAATGTACACTCTGGCCAACATGGAAGAGCTGCAGTTGCAGAGGAACCAGCTGACTGGAACTCTGGCTGCTGAAACTGGTTTGTGGTTTTTTATGTACTGGTTGTCTCTGGGCGGCAACAGATTCTCTTCAGTAATCCCAACTGAAATTGGACTCTTGGGTGATATGGAAATACTATCCCTTGCTGCCAATGAATTCACTGGCACACTGCCATCCGAAATTGGTTTGATGTCTGGGCTGGCGTACTTGGATGTGTCAGAGAATGACTTAACTGGAGGGGTCCCCCAAGAGTTGGCTGCTGTCTTGTCAAATCCTCATCTTGAGGTGGTCAACTTGACTAGCAATGCTCTTTCTGGAGAGCTCACGGGTGACTTTTGTACTGCTGATCAATCTCTGTTCCGTTTTGACTGTACTTCAGTGCTTTGTGGCTGCTCCTGTTTGTGCCAGAATTCATCTGCTCCTGCTGCAAATGCCACCAATGCCAAGTGATTTCTATATTGTGTAAACTACCTGTCTCCGGCTTTGCCGTCTATGTGTTTGTAGTCACCTCTTTGAACAGTTTTTTGTGCTTCCAGTGTCCGATTCCTAGCTATAGTAGTGCGACCATAGACCCACGGTAAATGAAGTCTTTTTGTGTGTCCTGGAACCATACGCGTGCTTCGTTTCTGCTAGCTAGTTAGGTTCCTACTAGCCAGTAAAAGTGACATGGTTTCCCTCAAAACTATTCCTTACATGTATTTCCTCCATAGTCTAGTACTGTACGCTTCGTTCCTCTTCTCAAACTCCACCGCCCGTTGCAACAAGACTTGCAGTCGTTGTTGGGTATCATCCAGCACTTCCCGATACCGCGCAAATGGTGTGGAGCGCTGAGGTGCTTGAAGCTCTGGCTGGACAATCCCAAATCTCTATCCGCAGCTACAGTGCAACCGGCACCGCCAAGCACTCTGGCAGCAGCTAGCTAGCTACATTGATACATGCATGGATGCTGCAGTGCTCCAGTGTGTACCGTATGTTCCTTCCTGTGAGCGTTGCTGAGGTCTCGGTGCGTTCCCTGCAACTGGGTTCTGCACTTCCAAAGATTTCATATCCTGGGACGGCAAGGCTTCGAATCTGGCGCAGTCCTTGCTCTGCTCGACACAACAGAAGGAGAGATTGCCAGCCATTACAGTGGCATCTGTAGCAGAGCAGCAACGGGAAGAAGCCAGCCAGCAAGAGAGAAACAAAGCTTCCGATTGTGTTGCGCTGAACAGCTTGGATCCACAACCTGCTGTTCAAGGTGAGTAGTGAAGACTGCGCATCCGTACTCCGTTTGCTTCAAGGCATGGGTTTGGACAAGCACATTTAAATGGTTGGAAGCGCATTGTAACCTCCACACAAATGACTACAATAGATCTAGTGCCTGCAATTCTCCGCAAGTTTGGGAATGAGAGCAGAGATATTAGAAAGATACGTGAACGCGTCTTGATACGGAAACAGTCACATCGTTTGGAGTGACGACTCAAACAACAAATCACCTCGTTGCGTTTCTACTAGTATGTATTTTTAACTGATTATTTCTCTGGGCTACTGTGTCTATTCTCTTTTTGTTTTGTCTTGCTTTGTTTTCCGAAGATGCTCTAGATCTTGTTTTGTCTTGCTAAGCTACGCGTGAAAATGTGTCATGCCTGCATGCATTCTGTTTGAATGTATCGAATCGAATGATTCATTCGATTTGGATCCGTTGTACTGTACAATTTCCATTTCCCAATGTTGTTGTCCTTTTTCGCTTCTTAGGCAGCCTCGGAGATGATCTTGCGTGGCTGTCCAGTGGACGACAAGGACTGTCGTCGTGCCTGTTCGACGGGCGGCGTGTCGCTGGAAGCACGTTCGTCGTTGGACCCGACCGACTTGAAGGACGTCTTCATCTCCGTGTCACCAACCAATTCGGCCTTGACCATCCAGCCATCCACATCGAGATCCATACTACTAGTACTGTTGTGGTTCTGTTGTTCATGGAACGAGGATGATACCAACAGTCCTTCTTCGAGTGCGAGCGGTTCGATGTACTGCTGCGCAGGCAGTTCCAAGTCAAAGAGGAAATCGCCTTCCTTTTGCTCGTAGTAGGAGACATCGAGTTGCATGAGAAAAGTCTGCATTTGTCGACAGACTTGATCCATACTCCATCGTTGATGGACATTGGGATGCCAACTGTTGGCGAGAATGTCATCGAGGGCTTCCGGAAAATAGTAGTCGTCCACCGTAGGTCGTTCTCCTTGTTCGCACACGTAGAGTTGATGTTCGGCAGCCGTGACACCATGATAGGGCTTTCGTTCGGTGCACATTTCGTAATAGGTCATGGCCCAACTGTACGTGTCCGATTTCCACGTGTAGGCTCCCGTCGTCAAGACTTCCCCCGCAAGATAGCGTCGGGTCCCCGCCAGTGTCAAGCGGTAGGACTGTTGTGCGACAAAATCCCGGGCCAATCCAAAGTCGTAGAGTTGAATGCAATGAGGATCGTGCAACGCAAAGGCACAGTTGGCGGGCTTTAAATCTCTGTACAAGACTCCATTCTCATGACAGTATCGAAGTGCCTTGGCAATTTGAAAGGCATAGTTGGCTTTCATGGGGATCAAGTCTTCGTCGGGTTCCGTGCCGCGATTGGGAGCAACCCGCCATTCCCGATAAATGCGATCTGCCAACGTCACCGGAGACAAACGATCGAGAATGAGAAAAAAATCGTCAAATTGATGCGCCAAGTAATTGTGGCCAAAGGCATCGAGCGTAATGCCTCGCAACGTGGCAATGTTGGAATGTTGCGACAAGCGGCTCAAATACTTGGCGTCGTTGACCAATTCACGTGCGGCGCGGGCCAGTGTCTTGGGACACGTCGCTTGTAAGGTTTCACGAGACAAGTGCTTGAGGGCGTACTCTTGTTGCTGTCGCTTCTTGTTGTTGTTGACAGTCGATCGGAGTTCCTCGCGTTTCTTCTTTTGATGCTTGTTATTACTCCCCACCAGCGCCGACTGGTCCAAGACAATCCCGGTAATAGCATGCACTTCGGTAAAGGTTCCCTTGCCCAACAGAAGACCCACTTCTACTTCCGAACGCTTCAAACAAGCCAAGTTGTGGTCAGTCTCTTCCAACGATGCAAAGAACTCCGTGTCGCCTTGACGATCGTCAATGTGAGTGCTGATAATGTCCGCACCCACACTGGCCGTGCGCTGGAACATCTTTTTCAATTGCCAACGACTACTACTGCCATGGTGGTGACTACTACTACTATGAGGAGGAATGGGGCTTCTACTGTTGTTGTTCGTCATGATGGATGGATGGATGGATGGATGGAAGGGAGGAGAGAGGATTGATGGAAGGATGCGTGGGAAAGAAGAAGAAGAAGAAGAAGAATGTGTTTTGTGGTACTGCACCCCTGCTTTTCTTTTTGTTGACAAGCAGCTGCAGGCAACACAACGAAGTACCGTACCGTAGTGGAGTGTTTTCAAAATCTGCTCCTCACTCAGGGCTCTGGGATGGCGAGCTGGTGGCGGTTGGCAAATCCAATTCAAACAAAATGGTTAAAACTAAAAGAGGGAAGTGGCTTCCTTCTCAACATCACTCTGTTACTGTCCATGCCATTTAAGTCACTGGTAAACGTTTAAGCAACCCGTAACGGTCGAGACAGTGTCCAAACTCAATCGAAAAAGCCCTAAGGAAGCTCGAAGAAGCATCATTAAGACACACAGACTCCATGGAAGAAAGAAAAGCGATAATGGAGTTAAGAGGGATATCCGTGGCTATTGTCTTGGTCGAAAATAAGTATAGCATGTATTAAATGAAAACGTGAGATGGGTTTCTTTAGATTTCATCTGCTTCAACAGTCACACCACTGGTGAAAGCAGAACCGAACTTTAGATCAACAACAGTATTCTGTGACTGGTGGCAAACAAATAAATGACCTCAATCCCTGAGGTGCAGAAGGGGAGGATTGAGAGGACGGCCCCCAAATAAAACGACTGCCTGTCTGCACTCCACGAAGACTCATCTATCTCCCTGATAACATCTCTCTATTCTTGGTGAGCATGACGGCGACACTTGGCTACCAAATCGAACTGACCATGTACCTAGACTTATACCAGTGCTGGCGTACCGTGCGAGCTAGCTTGCTAGCTCGTCCTGTCAGCCAAGCCATTGAACCGAAAAGCGATGAAAGTGACAAGGGCTTTTTTTCAGGTAAGCAGCTATTTGTTTGGTTCTGGTTAGCTAGCTAGATACCGGTACGGTATCTGCCAAAACAATCAGCGTGGCTAGCTGGCTGGCTAGTACCAGGTAGAGAGGAACCCAAGAAACCCGGTCCAGGAAGCACGGGCATGTCAGGTCTGGAGGAGTCGAGTCCTCAGTCTATCTGGAGACACTTCCCCAAAATAATGTGCAAGCAAATTGCACTGGTTCCGATTTATCCAAGATTGAAGTTGATAGTGAACACGTAGAGTAGGGAACTGGTACGGGGGATCACAATAGTTAAATGGTTAGAAACCAATCAATACTGCCCCTCTTTTCTTTGCTGTGAATCCCGCAATTCGCCAAACTCTGCGGATTATTGGGAAAGCACGAAGAGAACAAGAGGCTTAGATGGTCAGATCTGGATTGGCGTTCTTGGCCAACCAGAATGCTCTTTGACAGGTCACCGATCTTTATTACCCGAGGTTGTAAATAAATTGACTTCGGTACTGGTAGCGTACTGGTACTCCGTTCCGTACCGTACAGTACCGTCATTACCGGTGATGCTACGTACACCGGTACGTTGGTAACGATACCGCTGGGGGGTGGAGAAAATCGACCAGTGCCATTCATTGAGCCAGTGGTGACAGCCAGCCACTGTTTTGCGAACAGTGGTCACTTTCACCATTGCCACTGTTTTACAACTAACGTATATCACCGTTTGCTACTGTCAAAAGTACAACTGTGGTTGACAGTGCAACTGTTTACCACTGTCTTCCACTGTCTTGGTCATGGTTTACCCTGGCTGGCAACGGCTGGCACTGAATTTCTCCACCCCCCTGTCAAGGTTTGTAAAAGCCGCTCCATAAACTGCTACACTCCAAACTCACATAAGAAAGCTCTAAATCCAGTGCAGCCTTGGGCCTTTCTTGAGGTCAAGCAGGACAGCACTTGGATACAGTCAACATTCAGATATATATACTGGGGGGGATTCAGGAATTCAGTAAATATAACAGCGAGAATAAATATTGATTTTATCCCTAACCCTAACTATTCCCGTAGAATTGTACGTGCTCTAGTACTAAAATAGGGTTAGAGTTAAAAATGTGGGAACTGGAGTATTCTTAAATATTATAGAGCGAATAAATACAAGATTATAAATATAAGCGAGCGTTGACTGTACACCGTACACTGGGTTGGATCAAATAGAGATGGTGATCACTGTCTCTGCTGTGAGGCAGAAAATTTTGCAGATGTAAGCACAAGTTTGAAGCATTTTAATGGTGTCAGACTAGCAGCTAGTAGTATTTCTTATGCTTTGAGGTCTCAATACTGGGAACCTATCTTACAAGTCTGTGATATTTCAGCATCAAGATTTTCTTAACATTTTCTAAAAGCTCAGGGCTCGCTTTCTTATAGTGCAGTTTCTTATTAAGTCAGCGGGAGCTGCGATACCTCGGCAGAAAGACAAATAGAAGAAGGAGATCATATTTGAGATTGCACCCTTCTTTCAAGGCAGCCCGGTATCATTCCCTCATTGTAACATCCTTTTTTATTTAAGCTAGCCCTGGCGACAACACCCGACTTCGTTATGTGTTGCCGCCCGTTAACTATAATTTTACAGCTGTCATTCCCTTATGTAACTGTAACCTTTGTAGCTTCTGCTAGCTTATTGTGCTGAGTACACTAACCTTGAATACTCATGATTTATTACTACCCCTAAATTTGTTGAACCTTCAATTTCCAGTTTTGTTAGCTTATACCTATCTCTATCCCTATATTTTGGCTTCACCGGAACAGGAAACAGGAAATTCGGGTTTTTTTCAGCGTTTGTCTCCTGTTTCCTTCTATTAGTTTGCTCCCTACTTGGATCCTTGAACAATACATGCTCACCGAATATTGTCAATCCAGCCATTGCAGCCAGTTGCCGTATAGTTACATCGACGACAGTGGCAACAGTGCCAAACACACTCAGGTTCGGCTTTGCTCGCTATTATACTTCCATCACCGTTACCTTGCATTGGATCCTTATGACGAATACATGCACAACCGAATATTGTCAATCCGTCCATTGCAGCCGGCTGCCATATAGTTACATCGACGACAGTGGCAACAGTACCGAACACACTCAAGTTCGGCTTTGCTCGCTATTACACTTCCATTACCGTTACCTTGGTTTGGATCCTTATGAAGAATACATGCACAACCGAATATTGTCAATCCAGCCATTGCAGCCGGCTGTTGTATAGTTACATCGCGACAGTGGCAACATTACCGAACACACTCTGGTTCGGCTTTGCTCGCTGTTACACTTCCATCACCGTTACCTTGCATTGGATTCTTATGAGAATACATGCACAACGAATATTCAATCCAGCCATGTAGCCGCTCCTATAGTTACATTGACGAAGTGGCAACAGTATCGAACACACTCAGGTTCGCTTTGCTGACTATTACACTTCCATCACCGTTACCTTGCATTGGATCCTTATGAGGAATACATGCACAACCGAATATTGTCGCTCCAGCCATTGCAGCCGGCTGCCATATAGTTACATCGACGACAGTGGCAACAGTATCGAACACACTCAGGTTCGGGTTTGCTCGCTATTACACTTCCATCACCAATACCTTGCACTGGATTCTTAAGACGAATACACTCACCGAATTTTCAATCCAGCCATTCTGCAACCAGTTGCCGTATAGTTACATCGACGACAGTGGCAACAGTACCGAACACACTCAGTTCGGCTTTGCTCGCTTTACACTTCCTACCGTTACCTTGCATTGGATTCTTATGAGGAATACATGCACAACCGAATATTGTCAATCCAGCCATTGCAGCCGCTGCCATACAGTAGTTACATTGACGACAGTGCAACAGTATCGAACACACTCAGGTTCGGCTTTGCTCACTATTACACTTCCATCACCGTTACCTTGCATTGGATCCTAATGAGGAATACATGCACAACCGAATATTGTCGCCCAGCCATTGAGCCGGCTGCCATATAGTTACATCGACGACAGTGGCAACAGTATCG